GGGGGGGGCGATTCTGCAGGGGGAGGGGGCACAATACTCGTCTATTACTACAATAGTCGTATATCATCCTATTTACAGTGGGATACGGTACAGGAGGCCTATTCCCCCTCCCGAACATGTATGGGTTCCGTCGTCAGTATAAAAAGTTGACACTCAAATATTACAGTTCCAGCATACAGGCATTAGTAACGGGCTCGAAGATATGTACTATATATAAGCTTACGGCTTAAATAACTCTAAACGAAATAAACCAATATCATGGATATTGTTTTGTGCGTTCAGAAGTTTGCTTTCTCTTTACTTTGCCACCCCGAATCTCCATTGATAAATTACGAGAAAGCAAAAACTGAAAGTTCGGAAAAGCAAAATTCGAACGAAAGGGCGACTAATGTAGAGGATCAATGAAAGGGGATACTAAGGATTGCTGTTTATTGCAACTTGGGGACCCACCAATATTAGCAGCTTGATTTATTATACAATTACATACACTGTATCTAAAATATTTGAAGTTCTGGTTTTTCTTCAAAAACTGTTTCGAACAGTATCTAATTAAGAAGTAAACATAAGTAAATAACGATTTACTAAAATATATTCATGATTTAAATAATGATGTTTTATACTTTCGAATACATTTTTTTTTATCTAAAGCTGATATTTTTCAAAATATACTATTATATATTCATGATGAAATGCAATAATAATTATTTTTAACTTACACAAATTCATTTTGTATGAAAAGCTAATAATTTTCAATATTTACTATTATATAGTCATGATGAAAAGAAATATGTTTATTAATACCTTTCATTTTGCAGATGTTCAACTAGTCATACAATCACAATTGGTGCCACATCATGATGTGTAACACATCGTACACATGAACATTGTACAAATGTCAAACGAACATCACATACATAAACATCAAACACGTGAATCATATTCAATGCAAGGCAGAACTTAGTCGGTACAATTACACGTGCCTGACCTCATTATGAATTGTTTTGTCCTGTGACGTCTGTTTTGTCTGTATATCATTGGGAGTACCTATTGTAGACCGAACGGCTTTGTTCTGAACTCCTGGTCATGTAGTTGGCCACCCAATGCGTCCTTGTAAGTATCTCCACGTAGATATCTGATGGGCAGTATCTGCACGTATATATCTGTACGGCTGTGACAAATTACATGAATGCAAATGTTCATCTCTATATTGGTCTGTTCTAAGGAATTTGCCCTTGACACGATGTCGTCCAGACTGGCCTTGATAGCGTCGAATTAAGCTAAAACTTGGTCTTCCATCGACAAATCGTGATACCGTCGGGTGCCGCGTCTAGAAAGGACTGATGCCAAGTTGGCGCTATATTGTAGCGCTACCTGGTGGATACATAGTAACTCGTAGCTATTCCCCATGACTACGCTAGGGTAAAAAAGATACGAAACGGAAAGAGATGCTGTGACCAGACCCCTTAAGCTGTTAATATGACGTTAAACAAAATATTCCCCCAAACCCCAGGATCTGCAGGGGGCCAACATTATTCGCCTCTTAAGTTAATGAAGTTCGATACAGCAGGCCTATTTCTCACCCGAACCTACACGGCTTCCGTTGTCAGTGTGAAGGGAATGGTGGCCTTCGACGTGATATTTTAAAGAAATATCGCTATAAAAATCTTAGGAAGGCACCACCTCCAGCGTGCAGGCATCAGTTACGAGCACAGAGATACGTCCTTTATTGACATTAATTGTTAAACTAACTCGAAACGCAAAAAAACAATATATTGCCCATATGCAATTTTTTGTCAAGAGGCGGAGCGTTTAGCTTAGGAAGAAAGTTTATGATGTATGTCCCCTGACCAAGAAAAAAGAAAGTGCTTAACATTAGAAGTTACATGCAGATATCTGCTCGACTTTCAGCTTAAAATTTCAGTGAGCTTTGACTGTTTAACTGGCCCAATCATACTAGTAAAATGTCTTCGCATGGCTACTGCATTCGTTATGATTTAAAACCTGAAACAAACATGTGACGAATTTTTCAGGGCCGGGACTAATATGATTATTGACGCAGACGAAACGTTAAGTGTTGGTTTTGAAATGATATGCTATTTTGATCACATTTATGTTACCAGCTACGCCTATTCCGACTGATATAACGACGACGACGACAGACTCACCGTTTGCAATCCGCCTAGAAAACGGTCTGTACAACAACAGTGGCCGGGTGGGAGTGTACCATGACGGACAGTGGGGCGGAGTATGCGGCCATTATTGGAATTATAATGATGCAAACGTTGCCTGCAGAATGCTTGGGTATAGGTATGTATCACCATATATCATATATTACTTTGTAATTGACGGTATAAAAATGTACATGTTTTCAGTAAAGTGTCACATTACTGTTTTATATAGGCGGGGCATTACGTTTTCTTCTGGTGTAGTACATTATACATATATGTTGTGATTTTACTGCGTATGCGACACTAAAATAATGTAATATTTATCTCAGCCTATCTATATATATAGTCTTAATTAAAAACATAAACGTATATCAAATAAAATGACACGGAGGAAACTTTACAAGGATGCAATACTCACACATGCCAAAGAGATCGTCAAGTGCAAATCGTACGGAAATGAAGGGGCATTTTTTGTTTGTTTTTATACACCCGTCAATATTTTAAACGAGGACTATTTTGGTGAGGGAATCGTTCATCCGTTTGTCCAAATTTTGGTTTCCGTTAGATAGCATGCTGAAATACTCTACGGTGAGGGTAGTTTGTAACCATGTAGTAGAAAACCCAAAAACCACGACAAAGTCTGAAGTTGAACAAAATCTGTGCATGGTCGATTTGCATATTGCACGTTGATTGGTCGACGGTTGCGCCAAGGGGATAGGTGATCTTGGGGTTACAAAAATCACAATTCTGATAAAGCATCTTAGGACCTTACATCATAAAAAATCATTCGATCTTAGCAAATCTGGGTCTGAAGTAAAGATTGTTGAACGTTTGAGTTTTAAATTTTATACAATCAAACTACAAATATATGACGATAATTCCAACGAAGTTTGAATTAAATCCTATCAAAATAAACAAAATATACTCAAATGTGTTATTTATCTATCAAAACTAAAGAAATGTTTATCCCCCTCCCCACAGGGGAATGGGTGATCCGGGGGTAGTGAAATTTGCAATTTTAATAAGGCACTTTAAGACCTTTCCATCTATGATGGGTATTGATTCCAGCATATTTCGTTTATTTGCAGTATGATCAAGTGTCATTCAGACAGGTATCACAAAAAATATGAAACTAACGTTCATATACCTGCATCTATTGCAATTATATTCATAAATGCCTGGCTTATTATGTATTGCATACAAACCATAAACTGTACATGATTCAATCATACGACGAGCATTATGACTGCCCCTCATATTGATCAAATGTACCGATTTTAGGGAGATTCGAGACAAATATTATGATGTGCCTGATATGAAAACATTATATCATATAACTAATTCGTCATTCGAAATTTGTACATCTGCGTGAAATTGGTGTATACAATACAATTTTTAATTGTATTAATATTGTAAAGAATATTTCATCATTTCGCTATTAACTTATGTATACATTTGTTAACATTCTACCTTTCAAAGTTTTGTTAGTGTCTTAATTTTTGTAATAGTCCCATCTTATTGTTGTCAGGCTAGCAATAGGCTTACTAACTAACAAGAGTAAATTTATTGACAGCAACGGAACAGTAACTAGTCGACGTTATACATTGGATTCGGCTTGGTATGAATGGTTTGGCAATGAGACGGACCCAGATCTAATATGGATGGATAACGTACAGTGTTCTGGTATGGAGACCAGCCTTGCAGATTGCCCGTTCGACGGATGGGGTGTGGAGAACTGTAAAGCTTACTATAGGTCTGGTCATGCTTATGTTTTCTGCTACGATGAAGGTAATTAACACAAATTGATATAGATTAAACATGTTTTACTGAATTCCTTTAAATTACAATATATAATTATATTAACTGCATGTCCGGTATTTAGTTTGGTTTATTTTCCTTAACGTCCTATCAAGAGCTAAGGTCAGTTAATGCCATGCCTCATCGTGTGTAATTAAAGCCTGCTGTGTGCGTGTGTGCTGGAGGCAGGGTCTGTTGATGTATTGCCACCTTGCGATAGCGCGGATATGATTCCGACTTTGTAGTGAGTCCTCAACAAGATTATCCTGAATGCTGAACCTTTTCGGAGGAAATAACATATTCCATTTCAGGGACTTTGATCTGCCCTGGCCTGGGGGCAAATCTAATTGCAATTCCCATTTTAGGAGACAGCGATGACAAAAAAAAGAAGATGTAGCAAAGAAAGAGAGGGTAGAAATATTATTATGCATGAGTTACAAATGTGTAGCAATTTGCATAAATATTCCACTTTTAAACAATAATATTTTTCATATTGGTAAATAACATATATTTTACGAGGTTTAAGTTAATGCACGAGATTACCATTTATGACTCCAACATTTGACTGGATAACAATCAGAAGTTAAAAGATCATCGGTTGTAGATCTGATAAAGATCCTTTTTTATCCTTTTAGGATTTCTTTTAAGTTCTGTAAAATTGACTAGTTTCGATATACATCCGATAAATGTTATACAGGCGAGATCAAGTTTCCGTGTTAAGTCAAGATAATAACGAAAATTGTAAAAATGTGTAATAGATACAATATGATTCACATTCAGATGACACCGAGGTAAAAGTTCGTTTAGTGGATGGCACATCTAATGGAACGGGACATGTTGAAGTTCATTACAGCAGCATTTGGGGAAGTGTATGTTGGGACGGCTTTTACAACAATGAGGCTGAGGTCGTATGTAGAATGCTTGGATACAGGTATATTAAAGTTAAGATTGTATTTATTATGTATATGCGTCTGCATGTGTGAATTGGTTTTATTTTATAAGGTTTAACGTCTTATTAACAGCTAGGGTCAGGTTTGGGGAAAGTTACATTTCATGAGCCATCTGTAAGGGACCACTTACAATACCATAAGGGATCTGAGGTAATCAATCAATTACACACACATGTTTCGAAGTATGAAAGAAGTAATAAAGATATAGTTAACCATAAAGGGAAAGATGTTTTAATTAGATTTTACATAGATGTACATCCATACAAACAACCAATTGTTTGCTGTTTTTTTCAGCAATGGAGTTGCCTATGGGGATTCAACATTTCCTTTCACTAAACTACCAAAATGGATGGAAAGGATACAGTGTAATGGTACAGAGACAAATATCGCAGACTGTCCGTTCGGTGGATGGGGACAGATATCATCATATTGGGGTATAGCGACTGCCCTCTGTTATAATGATTTGAAGGGTGAGTTTCTTATTCAATGAAAAACATTGATGAAATGATCAAATCGATTTACAACATGTAGTTTTTCGTTAACATAATTCGTATAAAACATATATCGGGTAACGAATAGAAAACTGTAATACTGACGAAGCAGTACTTAATTAACGCCAACTTCAGTGCTAAGGACACAACAATTTTGAACTTTAGTAGATATTGACTAAATTTTCCTCCATCATGATTTTAGCTAGTGACGAGCAACAAGGGGTCCGACTCATGAATGATGTGTCCAACACCTCCGGCTCTGTAGAAATTATGTACGGTGGACAGTGGTCTATAGTGTGTGGGAAGAACTGGGATGATATTGAAGCTGGAATCGTCTGTCGAATGCTTGGATACGGGTATAAAGCACATGCATTAGCAGCATATTTATGATGATATTCTTTAACGGTGAATACAACTTAAACCGAAACGAACCCCCCAAAAGAAAAACATCACCAATACAGGCCAGTTGTTACATCTGATTTATTTTAAAAACATAGATTCCCATGATGTTTTAACGGTCCATCCAATCGACAATGTTTGACACTATGGGCCAAACAGTACTTAAAACGATCTCTACACAAAGAGATACATTGTCATCAATCCTTCACTAGCATGCTCAATGGGGGTTTGGTTTTGGTTTTATCGGATTTAACGTCTGATTAAGGTCATTTAAGGACGTGCCTCCAAGTAAAGTATGCATTCATGTTACGGCAAATGGGGATAATAGATACTTTGTAGAGGTTAATCAAGACGGAAGAGATCATTTCTTCTTGATTTGATTATGTTTAACCTTCTATAAACAGCTTTAAGGACATTTGGGATCGCTATATTTTCTTTCTTATTTCTAACAACCGTTTTGTTTCTAATGCCTCGTTGGCAATGTCCCAAGTTGTGGCCAGGCCGGAACACATACCTTATTTCTTATAGTGGGACGACTGGTTCGCCCGTTGTCAGTATAATGTGACCGGGTGGGGCGTCCTGCTGGTTGTCTTCGGCAGTATGTCCCAGTGAGGTAGCACTATAAAGTCGGCATCAGTTCCGCGCTATCACAAGGAGACAAACACGAACATATTGCAGCCTCCCAAAATACACACACATACACTACACGCATGCATCTTGCACACATGGGAGGCCGGCCTTAAATGACCTTAGCTGTTAATAGGACGTTAAACAAAATCAAACAAACAAACAAAAAACTTAAAAATGCAACGATTATTGCTTTGCCCTGATCAACGTTCGGCATTAGTTGTAATTACAACTGGGTGTTAGTGTAATGTGACCAGGTGGAATACTTTGCGTATATTTGTGTGATAACACTCTTAGGCCGGAATCAGATATGCATGGCTGCGTTTGGATACTACAGTATAACCTGTCTAAAATAGTCCATGTCTAATCCGGATCCCTGTCTTAAACGGCTGTGGTCCCTATATAATCAAAGTAATTAAACTCTGTATAAACCGAACCCTGTCCATTCCGAAAACCGACGGTGTTTCACAAAAGTTGGCATAGTAATCCATCTAAAACTAAAAACAAATTGTTCATTCCGGTCCTGAAATCTCCCTCGGCCAATAATTAATTATTATTACAATTAATAATTAAACGTTGCAATTAATTCATTTCTTTGTTGTTTATGTTGACATACATGTATACAGATCGTATGCAAAACACGACATTTATGCATTTTCAAAAAATGACATGCCGATCCTGCATAAATCGGAGACCTGAGTAAACCGGATAAATAGTTTGGTCCTGGTGAAATCTGGTTTAGACAGGTAATACTGTACCTACATTACGAACGCTTATATGCTACAAAACCAAGATCAGCCATGCTTGTAATCAATCTTTAACAGTCAAGGATTTGTTCATCAAGTGTTTTATATCTTTAAAATGCAAGTTTACTGCTTTCCAGAAACGGAACTGCACAATCTTATGCATCTTACCATGAGGTTCCGAGAGAAGACATGAACGTGAAGATACATGTCAACTGTGTTGGATCAGAGACAAGTCTTTACAACTGTAGATTTAGCGACGTCCTTGAATACTGTGGCATGGATGGCAGAGCAGGTGTTTCCTGCTCGGGAGCTCTAGGTAATTTTTAATTCAATTTCTGATAACTTTTTCCTTTCATAACCTGTCAACACCACGCGTTCGCCCAAGTTGATGGTAGGCTTTTCACCCTTACCAAGACGAACCGAAGTCTCATTTTTTTTTATCCCTGTACATGTGAAAGGTAAGAGTTGCTATGGTTAGTTATATCATTTTGATGAGACCAACGTGTTAAAGGTAGAACTGTTTTAATTGGGGTTTAACATCCTCGCAACAACCACGGTCGTATAAGGACGGGTGCCAATAAGGAAACATCACCGGGAAGAGAAACTAGACAAACAACGAAAGAGGACAGGAACAATAGGAAACATAGAAGTCCTCAAGTTATGTAATAAAGCTTGCGCCGAAATTAGTCGCCTGTTAATGTAAACATGCAGTGGGATACAACAGGTCTATTTTTGGTTTATTTAATGTCCCTTGAATAGAAGACAAAGCAGAAACCGCCCCGATTCTGCAGGGGGGAGGGGCGATTCTGCAGGGGGGGAGGGGGGGGCACAATACTCGTCTATTACTACAATAGTCGTATATCACCCTATTCACAGTGGGATACAGGAGGCCTATTCCACCTCCCGAACATGTATGGGTTCCGTCGCCAGTATAAAAAGTTGACACTCAAATATTACATTTCAAGCATACAGGCATTAGTAACGAGCTCGAAGATATGTACTATATATACACTTACTGCTAAAATAACTCTAAACGCAATAAACCAATATCATGGAAGTTTCAGAAGTTTCCTTTCTCTTTACTTTGCCACCCCGAATCTCCATTGATAAATTACGAGAAAGCAAAAACTGCAAGTTGGGAAAAGCAAAATTCGAACGAAAGGGCGACCAATGTAGAGGATCCATGAAAGGGGATACTAAGGATTGCTGTTTATTGCAACTTGGGGACCCACCAATATTAGCAGCTTGATTTATTATACAATTTAATACACCGTATCTAAAATATTTGAAGTTCTGGTTTTTCTTCAAAAACTGTTTCATACAGTATATAATTAAGAAGTAAACATAAGTAAATAACGATTTACTAAAATATATTCGTGATTTAATCCTAAATAATGATGTGTTATACTTTCGAATACATTTTTTATCTAAAGCTGATATTTTTCAAAATATACTATTATATATTCATGATGAAATGCAATAATAATTATTTTTAACTTTCACAAGTTCATTTTGTATGAAAACTAATAATTTTCAATATTTACTATTATGTAGTCATGATGAAAAGAAATATGTTTGTTAATACCTTTCATTTTGCAGATGTTCAACTACTCATACAATCACAATTGGTGCCACACCATGATATGTCACACATCGTACACATGAACATTGTACAAATGTCAAACGAACATCACATACATAAACATCAAACACGTGAATCATATCCAATGCAAGGCAGAACTTAGTCGGTACAATTAAACGTGCCAGACCTCATTGTTAATTCTTTTGTCATGTGACGTAAAAAGTATAAAGTCGTCTACGTCTGTTTTGAGAGAGAGAGTATCTGAAATGTTCGTCTTGTAACGTCTGTATCGTTATGTGATGTCAGTCAAATATTTTCTTAAGTTGTAATGTGCTTTATAGTATATTGGTTTTTTGAAAATTTAATAATTTGTAAATATTTCATTTATATATAATAATGTTTTCATTCCAAATTTAGTAACATATCATTTTTATAGAATAAATACCTACAAAAGACAGGTGTGATAGATAGATAATGTGTACTATAATAAATTGTATTAGGAAATTTAATGCTTTGTACTATTTCATTTATATCTAATCATGCTTTTATTGCAGTTCAGTAACCGATCATTTTTTTAATCTGTAATATGATATTCATAAGGATAAGGAGCATCTCAAAGAATATATATCTCCGAAATATCGATCTCAGTGCTATTGTAATGGCTTACCGATAAGTGATTGCATTATGTTTTGCATTTATTTTACATTGATACACATGTTTGCTTACATTGCAGCTGCTGTTAAAACATGTTCTGTACTGAACTCTGTCACAATTGTCCTAATAAATAATCTTTGTAGGATCCTCTCGCTAATGTAAAAATAAATACTCTTTGTAGATGTTCTATGTATGCCTACAAAGCATTTTTTCTTTTGGGTTTATAGAAGAAATTTTACTTCAGGCGTGACATCAAAACCATATATTAGACCTTTAATGCCAAATATGTATCCTGCTTTGCCTGAGTTGTCATACGGAATGATACAAACAATGATACATCTGAAATGACTATATATAAATTAATAAAAATAGTAAATACAGCATAAGTTCGTTAATGAATATTCGTTTACATAGCTGCTGCATGTTAATGGTTTGTATTAAATTTGTCAGCTTTATTATCCAGACATCAATCAGAATAATTGATAAAATCTGTATGACAACTCAACCACAGTAAAGATATGTATTCCTATTCCAAATTTGGGCCCCAAGTAGAACCACGTCCTCGCCGTGGGGTCTGGAAACATACAATCGATCGTATGGCCAAGTGTTCTACATGTCTAAATATAGGTTTCAGACCTGGTCGTTGAAATATTTTTTCTCTACTAAAAACGGTGCCAAAGTTTTTGTTACATCAATTCACTTCATCTGTTTATGATAATTTCAATCTGATTTTGTTCCAAACACATCCACCTTTTCCCTAGAACATTATAGGTATTTACTGTAACATATTTGTTTACTTTCAGAGGATAAACTCTATGCTTGAATCGTACAAGTTGATGATACATTTGTATATCCAAGACTTTTGTAAGAACTTGGCATAGTGATCCCAAAAGGATCTTGGCGCCTAGTATAGGAAGATCTCTTCATTCGACAGTCTTGTCAACAGTAAATGCACATATCTTTTAAATTTCGATGACCAATTTTATACAATTAGGTATGACGTGGTGTCATTGTTTACGTCTTGAGAATTAGCAATGACAACTTTGAACTCTGAAAATACAAGATAGCTGCCTGGTGGCCATCTCAATTTTTTCAATCAGTCTCGAAATGAAATACACAACTATAGATCAAGGATAACCTATACAGTTGTAACAGGAAAGATAATAGTGTGCATCCATCGGGGATCGAACCCTCGATCTCCAGGTTTCTAGCAGGACGCTCTACCACTGAGTTAAAGGGAATTTCCCTCTAACTCGAAGCTAGAAGGCGACCTTAATCCTATGTATAATTATAACCTGCCACACTTCTCCCCCCTTTTGAATGATGTTCGCCCTGGAACACAACCAACCAGGTTCTAACTCCATGTCACCACAGGGAGGACCACGTACATCATTGGTAACAGGAAAGTAAAAAGTGTGCTTCCAATGTTGATCGAACCCTTGATCTTAAGGTTCCTGGTCGGACGCTTCTTGTTTTCTTGAGAATGTATCAAGCATTTATTGGTCCAGCCATAGGGCCTCAGGGTTTGGTACCCCCGAGATTCGTCACAATGCATATAACTATATTTTCAATCAATAACAACTAATCACATATTGTACATGCGTTAAAAGTATAGATTTATCGCGTGACGTATTTGTTTTAAGTTATGTAAGAACAATTAACACAATATAAAATCAATTTGAACATCACCATCTCTCATCAAAATAACTTCATCGTTCTTAGTGAAATATTTGGAAAAGAAAGCCCATCTTTGTCTTTGTTGTATAATATGTGAAAATATACTTTAAAAACCGTTTGAAGGTGAATGTAAAAAACTTCACAATATCGACATTTCCTTCTTTACACATTACAAGATTTCGCCGCTTATATACACAATACCTTGCAGCACTCAATGTAAAATTAATCATGTAAGTGTTTACTTTCTTAAAAATAGCATTTTGCACAATTTTAAACTGTACTTAATGACTTCAATAGGATAATTAGGTACATTTACAATGCTAAACACTTGACCCACCCGTTCACATGGAAACATATTTCCCCAAAACCTGACCGCTATCGGCGCGACAAAAGTAGCAATTACCAGTACGTTGTAAATATCACGTGTATACCGTGGTGACACGCGCACTCCGTCTGCTCTTTGTAGTGTTACAACGGGATCTTCCACGCGCGTTTTATCGTAGCTGTGACTTAAAACAGTGTTGATTACCTTATCAGGGAAACTCTTAAAAACTTGGATGTACTGTGATGATATTTCGTTTGTTGATATGTCTGGATTATAATCGAGGACAATTTCAATGATAGAGTGTACCGGAAGTAAGCTTGGGATCACCTCGTCAGTATAATCTTTGACTAGTCTCGTTCAACCCGCGCAAGCTACGCCGAATAGAGAGTCTGGTCAAACACAGTGCTTTCGTTTTGTGACATCATAACGAGGCTTACCGATATTCTGGTAATTTTTTTTCATTGCTCAAAGGTTAACACACTTTTTAACTTTTGAAGTCAGAATTTGAGTGGCCCAAAATTACATTGAATATTTTAATTCCTTAAAAAATTACCTGCTTTCACTATTAACGAGAAATATGTAAGAAAATGCTTCAAAAAGAATGATTTCATGTATTTTCATTCGATATTTTACAATAATTCATAAAGCTAACAAGGCTATTGATACAAGTCAAGCCATATTACCTGAGTGAGAACTTGAAGGTGTTTTGAATGGTGTACAGGTAAAATCTTACTTGCTTTGTAAGCTTTTTTCAAACTTCAGTCAGCCTTGTTGGCTTTGTGCTTAGATATGATTTATTCAATGGAAATATATGGCATTATTCTGGAGATTTGACACATTTTCTTACATTGTTCTCGATTAAAGTGAATACACGGGTACTTCAGGAATGCATGTATGGGTAACTTTTTTCATTAATTTCATTATTCATTGAAATGTTAAAGGCGTTGACACGAAAGTAGAAATACTGCCCTCTGGTGATGATACTGTTAATGCACTGTGTTTGACCAGACTCTTGAATTACAAGTGATCAAGCGTCTGGTTGAACGAGACTAAATCTTTGACATACACAAGACCTGCTTGAATGAACATATTATTATATGAGAGTTTAGCCTTGCTTTGAAAAAGAGGATTAAGATATATAGGCTGACAATATACGTTAACACTATTTCCCCAATATTCTAAAAAATTAAATATATCCACCCATGCTAACAAAATGTCTCAATAAAAACATGGAATTCCTTGTAATTGTGAACATTTAAAATTAAAACACGAACATTACACCCTAAGTTTCGTATTCGCTATCAAAGATGAAAAGTATTTTCCTGTGTCCTTCCATAACATATTATCATTTCTGAGTAATCTAAAAGCGAACTTAATTCTAAAGTTTTTCATTGTCAAATCAATATCGGGAAACTGTAAATCTTCTTTAATTTTTGAACCTATTTTAGTCAAATATCTTTGAGACCGCGCGGTCAAAATTTTACATACATTGTATAAAAATAATTTTACCTTTCAA